ACGGGGCTTTACAATAAAGCAGAATTAGTTAACCAGCTTCCCCAAGGGACGCATGGCACCGCATGGATCGTGTCAGAGACACATCTTACCCAAACAGGTTGTGCCCAATTCAAAAAATCTCTTCTCCTTTCGAAAAGCCCATACAAGTTGGTCCATGGAGAATATGTACCTCCCAAATACAGTCACCAGTCACAGCTTGCAGTACGAGGGAAAGAACGGGGCGTTGGCTTTCTCACCACAACCCCTAGTAGAAGTCTTATGCATGATTGGCCGAGACAAGTCACACAACAACAACGTTGCCATGTGGCAGGGATCCAAATGGGGCAACTTTGGCTACAAGGGGGGGCATTTTATGGGAGTGCCTTTCAAAGCACGGGAGTCACCACTCGTGAAAATAACAACAGTCTCCTCACCCACATAGTGAACAGGCTATGCGAGGGAGCCAGAGGCCCACGCTTCTTGGGTGGTGATTTTAACCACTTCATTGATGACCTCCCAGGGGTTCAAACGTTGCGTCAACAAGGATGGGAAGAAGTGCAACATGTTGCATATAGAAAGTTTGGCCAAGAGATCGCACCCACCATCCAACAAAAACATACCAAAGATCTGCTTTTCTTGAGCCCAGATCTGATCCCTATGATCCGATCTGTCCATGTCGAATCCGACTGGGTAGCCAATCATTCGGTCGTGTATGTAGTCCTTGACCCACACATGCCACCACAGAAGGTCCCCATTTGGAAACAGCCTCGTCAAGTAGATTGGTCAAACGAGGACGATGATCATGCTGTCCCTGCAGAAGTCTTCACCTCCCAGGATAGCCAATCTACTGCCGAACAACAATACAGAACCATTTGGCAAACCTTTGAGACCTACAAAGTTCAACAGGCGAAACATCACGGTATCAACATCCACGGGTCTCAAACCGGTCGAGGGAATACAATTGAACGGTCGTGGATTCACCAGAATTTCGTGCCGCTCCGACCGTCTCGACCAGGAGGTTTCACCCCAGCATTTCATGGCCAAAATAATCTACATACACACTGGGTCAAGCAGTTGCGCAGGCTTCAGGCATTGTCACAGATGCATCATGCCACCCATGTGCAATCACCAGCATGGATTGAACGGAAAATAGGCCAATGGAGGGCAATTAAAAGAGCCGCCGGATTTCGCCCCTCGTTTGAGCAATGGTGGAACCAAAAAGCCAAGCATTTGTTAGCTTTACCCACTGCCTTGCCAATTTGCCCTCCGGATGGAGACCTTGCACACCTCCTGGCGATAGACTTTCAACAGGATGTACGCCAGTTGGAGCAGATGCTCACCAAAGCACGGATAGACAAAGCCAAACAAGCCAGGCTGGACAACCCAGCCAGAATTTTCGTTGATCTTCAGAAGCCCAGATCAGAGCCGGTTCAAATGTTGCTGGCCCACAAAGTGGCTACCATCGACAGTATAGATCATGCAGAGAGTGCGGTAGTTCTTGATTCAGCAAATGCTTTCGAGTGCTCCCAACCCATTGAACATAATGGTATTCCTCTCTCCATAATCCATCAGGACACAGATAAAATCTGGGTTGCAACCATGCCACCGGTACAAATAGGTGATACGCTCACCCAAACCAAGCCAATCCTAGAGCTTGACGACATATACACCGCCTTCCAAACAGAATGGATGGCTAGGTGGGATCGACATGCCAACACAATAGACTCTGCTTGGGAGCCCATTGTAGAATTCGTCCAACATGCATTCCCGTCCCCGCCGAGCCTGGAATACAGGCCTATCACATATGAAGTATGGCAAGCTGCCGTTCGCAAGAAGAAACATAAAGCAGCCATCGGCCCAGATGGTGTGTCCCGTGCCGACCTCCTGGCATTGCCTCCAGCCTGGGTCACACAAATCCTGAACTTGCTCGAAGCAGTTGAAGCTGGGACATCCTCTTGGCCACAACAGGTTGTCACCGGCCATGTGCATGCCTTAGAGAAGACGCCAAGCGCCTGGCAAGCAAGCCAATACAGACCGTTGACGGTCTTTTCGATTGTGTATCGCACATGGTCCTCAATCAGAGCAAGGGAAACCCTGGCTTATCTCAGTCGCTTCGTCACCGATCAAGTCACAGGTAACATTCCAGGTAAATCATGCACGGACCTGTGGCTAGGAATACAGATGCAGCTTGAAGATGCCATTCATGACCAACTACCCATGGCAGGGGTAGTTGCCGACCTCGTCAAAGCATATAACTTGCTGCCTAGACTGCCACTCTTAGCCATTGGGCTCCATCTGGGATTGCCTCGGCCCATCATTCGAGCATGGGCTAATGCACTCGCTCAGCTGACCAGAGCTTTCAGCGTAAGAGGCACAATTGGCCCACCGCTGCATTCGTCCACAGGCTTTGCCGAGGGATGCGGACTAAGCTGCAGCGCCATGCTCCTGTGTAATATCACACTAGCCAGGTGGCTCTTCTTTAGGTTCCCCTCCGTCAAACTGTGGTCGTATGTAGATAATCTCGAGCTCACTGCCACCTCCATTGCTGAAGTTAATAAAGGCCTTGAACTAATGACACAGTTTTGTGACCTCATGGACCTCCAAATCGACACCGCCAAAACGTATTTCTGGTCCAATGACGCAGCCGAGCGCCAGCACGCAAGGCAGGCACAACTACAACTGCAGTCCTCTGCTCGAGATCTGGGCGCTCACATGGAGTATGGCAGACGCCGAACCAATCACATCCTGCAAAAACGAATGGCTGCGATGCCCCAAGTCTGGGATGCCCTGACACGGTCTCCTGCCCCATACAGACAGAAAGCTCATGCCATTCGAATGAAGGGCTGGCCTCAAGCTTTGAGTGCAGGCATGTCGGCTCCCATTGGGGCCGCTCACATGCGCACGCTGCGCACTGGAGCCTGTAGGGGTTTAAGAGTCCATGCACCAGGCATCAGTCCCATGGTTCAGTTGTCACTCGTGGAACACCCTCTTACCGACCCAGGGTGTCACTTGCTGATAAGCACAATCCAGGCATTTCGCCGCCATACAGACCTTGATCAAGCATGCCGCCTGCTCGACGCACTAGCCTTCAACCACCTCCATCAGGGGCCCAGGCCCGGCCCCTGCCAAGTTTTGCTAGAGCGACTGCATCACATCGGATGGCAATGGTTAGGACAAGGGTGGGTTGCAGATATAGATGGAATACCCCTGGACTTGATGCACGGGGCACATGCAGAAGTGCAACAACGCCTCTTGTCTGGATGGCAAGAGTTCACTCAGCGGTGCGTCAGCCGACGCAAAACATTCCAGGGTATGGAATGGGTTAATGCCCCATTCACCATGGAACGATTAACCTCCATGTCCCCTGCCAAGCTAGGCCTTATGCGTAAAGTGCTAAATGGTTCATTCTTCACAGCAGACTCCCAATTGCGCAACAAGAAAGCCCACCAACTTGTGTGCAAATTCTGTGGAGAAGCAGATTCCCAATTCCACAGATTTTGGGAATGTAAACAATTCCATACCGTAAGGCCTTTTCCATGGCTCGTCGAGCAGGTGTTGGCAGGAGGCTTACCCAAATGCCTCACATACCATGGATGGATAGGCTTACCCGCCTCAGTCCGCGCCTTGCAACAAGCTTTGGTTAAACAGCCAGACCGAACAGGGCAGTTCGATCATCCGCCGTTCACCCCTGTAGACTTGTTCCTCGATGGATCATGCTTGAACCCAACTTGTGTGTATACTCGAGTGGCGGGATGGGGCCTGATTGCAGCCGATCCGTCCGATATGTCCAGTTGGTGGCCATTGGCCCAAGGCCCGGTCCCAGGGCCCAGACAGACCAGCCTTCGCGCAGAGATCACCGCTGCCATAAGTGCCCTTAAGTATGTCATTCTCACCGACTCCACGGTGAGGTTATGGATAGATAATGCACAAGTCGTAGACACCCTAACTCATGCTTTGCAGTCCCCAGACACATGTAAACTCAGCAGGAAAGACCACGACTTGTGGAGTTGCTTAGGTGCACTTGCACGACTCTCTCCAGAAGGTCGGATCACCGTTCACAAAGTCGCCAGCCACCAATGCCTGACAGGAGCAGACCTTGTGGAAAAATGGGCCTTCCAGGGGAACGACGGGGCCGATCATAGTGCTGGGTGGTGCGCAAGATACACTGAAGAAGTGTCGGGGTTGTGGCATCGCGCCACGGCCGATTTGGACGCAGCTAAACTCCTTCGAGAGCAAGTGCACCAGACCATGTTACTTGTAAGTGAAGCCGCTGTCAAACAAGAGGCCCCCCGGCCACTCGAAGAACAAGAAGAGGCAGCCTTCCCCCTCCCTCTACAGGAGGTAACGATGGGGGTCCTTCCATCTCGCCCACAGACAAGCAATGATAAGTTAGTAGGCACCAAGTGGATGCAGATCTCACAGTGGGCAACCAGTTTGTTCCCTCCGACGGCCACTGTAGTCTTCATTCCATGGTTTTATCTTTACATAGACTTTGTCTTGGAAACTGATTTAGGAGGGCCCCAGCCTGCCAACAAGTACAAAAGATGGCAATGGATGACACGCCCTGAAGCGGAAGAACTGGACATCTTCTTGCGCACCAAATGGTTTCGCTTGCTCCTGATCCAGCTCTATAAAAATGAGGGCACTCCTTTGTCATCTCAATATGTCCGTCCCTCCACACGGATGACAACTTTTTGGGCCCACTGTGTCAGCTGCCGTATGCACAGTGGTAGACTTCGAAGAATCGAAGAGTTTTTGCGCAAATTTCGTGCTGCATTCACCAAGGGAAGCGACTTGGCCTCCGTCACGATCTAGGTCGCAGAGATAGGGTTTCTGGTTCACCCCCGCCAACAGCCGCGGTGCCAGAGTCTTGCGGAAAAGCGGAAAAGTGGAGGCCATCGCTCGTAGGGTGGAGGCCATCGCTACTAAGGTGGAGGCCATTCAAAGGTGAGCTGACTCTTGGTTTGGGTGATTCGCCCAGCGAATGTCGGGCGACTTGCCGTCGAAGACTCCTGTGCCAGGCCGCAACAAATGATGGAGATTATCGCCAGCTGCTGGAGCACCACCGGTAAGGGTCCTCAAATCGCACCATGTCTCGTGCTATCAGCTTGCTGTGTCATTTCTTCCACAACCAGTTTCACTGTCCCGGCTAAGCAGAATCAAGCTGAATTCTGTTGAACCTGCCTAAAGAAAATGCTTTTGGAATGATGTACCAACCAGATACTGGAAAAAAGAAAGAGTCTGTTGCAGAAGACTCATCATGTTTTTGCCAAGTGGACAGCTCGGTCGGTGTCACCATGTGTCACGTTCGACTCGCGCAACGTGAGGCGAGAGATCCGCGAACAACGCGAGGCTGCAAGACGCAGCTCTCCCGAGAGGGCCCGGCCCCTAAGTGAAGGCGGCATTCGGCGGCCCGAAACGGCCTGAGGTTCTTGCTTGCTCTGAAAGGGTCTCCCATGGTCTCCTCCCATTTGGCCCATCAGGTTCTTGCAACTTAGCGACCAAAAATGGATGGGGCTGACTGTTTGGGGTGCTCCAGATTTGTCGAAGATCGAATGGATGAGTCTAGCAAAAGCGGCCAGAATGTTCAACGGTATACATATGTCATACGTCCGGATGCCTTTGGCCAATGTTCAGAGGCCCCCCGATGATTTTTGACCGCTCACTGGGTTCAAAGTGGTCCCATGGGAGAGTGGCTGGTGCATTTGAGGATATTGTTACATGGGTCAAGTCCTCGTCCTCCGTTTGGTCCATGAGGCCATCACTGAGAATCCAGGAACCAAAAAAACAATGGAAAAACCTTGGGCAGTGGAAAGCACCGGTTTTGCTGAGGTGCAGCAGTGGGGCGTGTGGGCCAAATGAGCTGTTCTCGTCCAGGCGGGTGTGGCACCAGGATTTGCAGCGTCCAGCTACGCTGGGGCAAGACTTATTTGGGGGAGACTTATTGGAAGCTATTAGAAACAAGAAGCTACTAGGAACAAGTGCATCGCTTCTAGTAACAAGTGCCTTACTAGTAGTAACAAGAAGCTATTAGAAACAAGAAGCTACTAGGAACAAGTGCATCGCTTCTAGTAACAAGTGCCTTACTAGTAGTAGCAAGAAGCTATTAGAAACAAGAAGCT